ATAAAATCAACGGTTTTTGGTCCAATCTTTACCCTCTTGGGTTTAGGAACTTTTACTTTAGCCAAATACCCCCACACTTTAAAATATTTTAAGTTGGATTTCCTATATTTTCAATTTTCATATAGAATGGATATCGTTTTGCTATGGGGAACTCATTGAGTATTTGGTTGGCTATAAGAATAGCTTTCCCCCACAAGTTCTAGTGTAAACCAGAACTTATCAACAAGGCATTTATCATTTCCTTTAACGTTCTATTCTTTCTTTCCGTAATTTCATTAGATTGTGGTGAGTAAGAGGCAGTTGTTTTGTGAATAGTGCCATCTTCCAAACATATTTCTTCAAAAGGAGATTCATATTCGACACCCCTATTACTTCTTATCATTTTGATCTTTTTTTTAGTTGCATTTCAATTTCATTTTTGTATTGCTTGAATGCCTCAATTTCTTCATCTTTACTATCAAATAAGTAAATATAGCAATATCTAGTACTATCGTCAATAAAAGTTATGAAATACTTTTTCCCACCGCGAGATGATATTGACTTCATGTCGCAAATATCTGTGTGAATTAAGTCTAAAGTATTTGAATTCCTTTCAACTGACTTATAAGGATGTTTAACATACTTAAATTTCACACATATTTGACAATTCAAATTATCACATTCAAATTTAGGCAATACTTCCAAGTTAACTATTTTTCGTATAGTTTTGAAGTTGATGTGACCTAAAACGTGCATGCCATGAATTATTTGACTCAAGTAAATAAGAAGAAGCTTGAACTTTATTGATATCAATAGATATTATATTCAACTTGAAATGGCCCTCAATTAGGTAACATTTTCTTACGTACACATCATTCTTACTTATTATAACTTTTTTAGAAACAAACACACACTTAAATCTTTTCTTGATAAGAAGTCCAGCAGAGATCAAATTCTTGCGAATTTCAGGAACATGGAGAATATTGTTTAGAGCCACAACTTTGCTCGAAGTCATCTTCAAACATATCTTCCCAACTCCTTCAATTTTTGTTGTTGCAGAGTTTCTCATAAAGATAATCTCGTTGGGCCCTGCGGGAACATAAGAGGCAAATAACTTTTTATTAGCATAAACATGGCGAATGGCTCCAGAATCAATCTACCACTACTTGGAATTTTCTACCAAGCTGCATTCAGATAGCATGACACATAAGTCCTCCATTTCTACAAACAATACAGGAAACAAAACAAAAATAGAAATATAAACAATATAAGTAAAAGTTTCGAGCCCAACAGAAAGTTGTGTTTCCTTAAGAAAATTAACCCCCTCATTGTTGCCAAAAGTTATTGGATTAATTCCTCCCAAGATAGAATGGAACAACTATTTTGTAATATTGGCAATGAAAATTACAGAAAATTACTTACGTTTTGCTTTGGAAAAATAATGCAGAAATGCAAAAGAGAGAGGAGAGAGTATGCAGATTTTTGGTGGTAGAAAAATGAGGCAAAGCCTCTGAATTTATAGCCAAAGAGTCTGGGTCCAAAAAATTATCAATCATATCATATCCGAAGCCGAGCGACGGCGGCGCGAGACACCACTTCTTCTCAACTCTTTAAGAGTTAGAAGATGTGCTTCTCTATATAAGCACAAAGATTTTTTTTTTCATTGTCCGATGAGGGACAAAGTGTATTAATAAAAAAAACACTTCAAACTTTTAGTTTCCTTCCAAATTTTTTTTCTTCATTTCCCATTCACACTTCCTTATTTAATTAAATATAACCCCAACAATATTCACAGTTAGTTACGGTCCTTGCAACCACGGGCGAGTAATTTGTGCTAATTGATTTCCTTGCGTGCCTACAATATCAGTGAATGTTGTGGACTCTGGATTTGTTAGGTAATTAAAGTAAGAGTTAAGATATGACTTTATTTACCCCGTATCAAGGAAGAAGAAAGCGACTCTTTTGAGTCAGTATTCACTATTTGTTACTCTATGTTCCATTTTACATGATATGTTTTTGTTTGTTTAAATAATTCTATATATTCGAAAATAATTTAAATTTAAATTTTCTATTTTACTCTTAATGCGATGAATGACTTGCTTACAATTTTTTTTCAAAAAAGTCTTGCTGCCAAACTTTAAAAACGAAATTTTTGTAACTTCGGTCGTATGCCTGAAGTGGTTCGAAATGAGTAAATTTGCAAATTTTATAAATTTCGGCATGACTTACACAGCGGCCCCAAAATCAGCTATCCGTGCACTTAGCCATCCTTCCCATATGGAGTATGAAACCCAAGTTGACCTAAGTTGCATCTGCGCTGCTGGGGTGGGCTCGGCCTCCAAAATGTGCGTGTGACGAGGCAAATATAGTCCAAATGAAAAATGGAATGTAAGGGGAAAAATATAATTGTGAATTAGAGCATAAATTCCTGCATCCTGTTTTTACTGTTAACTCTTTCTCTCACACGTTTGGTTTCCTCTTTTCTTGAGTGAATCAATAAGAAAATGGAATATTTCATCAGTTTTCTATTCTTTTCACTTACTTACAATACTTTGCAAAACCAAAGTTAATTTATAGCATGTTTGGCCAAATTTTGTTTTTGGGCCAAAAGTGCTTTCTCCAAAAATTGAGGTGTTTGACCAAACTTTTAGAAGAAAAAAATACTTTTGAGAAGAAACAGAAACAGTTTTTGAAAAACAGAAAAAAATAAATTCTCTCCAAAAATACTTTTGAGAAAAATATACTTAGAAACAGTTTTTAAAAGTTTGGTCAAACACTAATTAATGTTCAAAAATAATTTTCAAATTAATTAGCCAAACACAAATTACTCATCAATAAATACTTTTCAAAATAAGTTAGATTTTAGAAGGTTCGCCAAACAAATTATTAATAGTAAAGGCTAGACCAAAAGATGGAACACCAATTTGTTCACTCCTTGTTGCTTCTGGACAAGGGCAACTTTTCACGATATGGTCATTACTCAAATGAACGGCAGAAAGTTCCAAGGGCAGAGCTACAATATTAGCTACGGAGACAAATTCTATAGATTTTGGCTTTTTGCTTAGACCTTATATTTATATTAGGAAATTTAGCAAAAATATATAAATATTTAGTTAGAAATCCAATAGCTAAAACGAGTTATGAGTCCATCGCAAGTATTCAAGCATATACTCCCTCCGTTTCAAACAAGATGATGTACTTTTCTTTTTAGTCTGTTCTAAAATAAATGACACATTTCTAAATTTGAAAATAATTCAACTTTAAACTCTTCATTTTACACATTTTACCTTTAATGAGAAGCTTTTAAAACCACACAAATATCATAGCTCCACAAAGCTTTTACTCCCTTTAGACCACAAGTTTCAAAAGTTTTTTTTTCTTAAATTTCGTGCCGAGTCAAACAACCTCGTCTAAATTGAACGGAGGGAGTAGTTTTTTTTTTTTTTTTTTTTTTTTTTTTTTTTTTTGCTAATAAGAGAATCAAATTTATTACTCCCTCTGTTTCAATTTAGATGACACATTTTCCTTATTAGTCTGTTCCAAAAAGAATGACACATTCTACAATTGAATATAATTTAACTTTAAACTCTTCATTTTACCAATTTTATCTTTAATGAGAAGCTTTTATAACCACACAAATATTATGGCCCCACAAAACTTTTACCTTTAAGCTTTTAATTAAGACCACAAATTTCAAAGTCTTTTTTTTTTCTTAAACTACGTGCTGAGTCAAACTATCTCATCTAAATTGAAACGGATAGAGTACCCTAAGTCTCACCTTTTAAGGTGGATCATTACAAACCGGAACTAATCGCGAAGTAGTGCCATAGAAGTCTTTGCGGAATTAAAATAACTAAAGCAACTATCTTTTTAACTATTCTTTGTTTGCTTCTTGTTCTCACCTTTATGATACATACTTCAAAAGTAATGTCGCAGAACTTCATACGTTTTCCAACGTCTTGAAGAAGTATTATATTGTTAAGGGCTTGTTTAGTTTTATAATTGTTTTAATTGATCTTATCAAAATAGACGAGTTTTATATAACGAGTGTTTAACTATTTTTTCTTTTTCAATGACGGAGTTAGAAATTTAACAAAAGGTGTGCAATTTTTCGTCTCAATTGTGTTAAGGGTGTGCAAAAATCAAATATATACTTATAATAGCTAACATATAACCTATGTACACCGCATAATGTTTCAACAAAGGGTGTGCGCATGACCACCCTTCCCCTAAGATGGCTCCGCCCATGTTTTCTATACCCTGGTAGATCCGAAATCCACTTGCTCGACTAATTTGAATTTGTGTTCGCCTAAGGCGTGGCTCCGCCCATAGCTAAGTACTAAATAATATTTTTGAAAATAAATTAAATTAGATATTACACAGATAAAAAAATACTAGCTTTCTAATCAAAATCCAAAGCAGACAAGCTTAATTTTTTCCAAGTCTAGAAAAATCATTGAAAGTGAAGGAACACGTTAATATAAACATATTATTAGATTAGCACGTAAATCGTAAAACGATAACTTATTACTTGTTGTTCGTGAAGCGGAAGCGAAAACGGATTGAACCGCAACTGGAATTACTGATCGGCGATGATTGTTACCGTGTGTTGAAGCAACCCAATTCCACAGTCTAAATCCCTCGTCTGATTTTGGGAGGAAAGAGCATGGGAAAATACTGATTTTCTATATAATATGTTGTACACTGTATGTATACGGGTTAACTAATAATTCTATAAGGCCTTAAAACACCCTTATGGGTGAACCCAATTTTCTTAGTAAACAATGTATAGAGAATATATACATACACACACTATTTTGGCTTTCTCGAGGCATGCAGATTGATGATTGCTTCTTTCATGAATTTCATTACATTCTAAAGAAATTCTAAAGTGCACAAAATACATCATTGTTAGGATGGTAGAACAAAAAGAAGCCTTATTTTCTCCATAATCTTGAAAGATATAGAGGAAAGTAATTGATAACATGACTAATGCCTAATGCCTAATCAATTAGCACCATTTATCTAGATTTGGTGCTGCATTTTTTTGGGTAAATAGTACTTCCATCTAATGGTAACTTAAGCTGACAATTAAGATGCAGCCAGAACTTAACAGAACCAATAAACCCTACTCTCCACCTAGTCCTTGTATTCCCTTTGAGATAAAGAACTACTTGTTTCTGATCCAATGACATTTCAGCAACTTCTCCTTCTTCGGGAGTCAACGAAATCGACGTTGACTCCACTGGATAATACAACGGAGTTGAGCTATTTTGAGGTACATCAAAAGGGTCAGCTCTTAAATAAGCAACTTTGACACCATGGAAAGTGAGTGTATAAATTGTCTCATAGAAACTTGCATGGGCTTTTGCATTGTCATTTTCAGCGTTGATAACAATTGAAACCTTGACAATTAGGTTACTAGACATGTCATAGGAAAAATTGTCCACATTTGCACTCACGACACTCATTTGAGGAACTTTTGGCCTGACGATCATGTATCCAATGAAGACAACGAGGCCAGTGATGATCACGGCTAGGGTTATGAAGGTACAGAGTGTGGCAACACACCAGATTAAAGGGTTGGTGCGTCGTTCCGGGCCTAAAACGGGCTTTGGCATTGGGAGGAAGAAGAGGTGATCAGCGTGTTTGGTTGATATGATCTTCAAGCTAACAGAATGCCTATCATCTGCTAGTCCCGTTTCACTATTTGTTGTTTGCTGATGTGATAGTCTGAGTAGACGGTTCTTTCTTTTCTGTTGTTCTTCGGATTCATAACCGTTGCTATTGAATCTGCAATTAAAGAAATATTATAAGAGCTCTAGGACTTCATGGTAGAGTGACAACATTCGAAGAAGTTCAAAAGAATTTCTTTTCTTTAGATATAGTGAAGGATATTTTAGAAGTATAAGGAGAAAGGTAGGTGCTTGTGCTAAGGTACTTGGCTATAATTGGTGGGGAAGGTTTTGGTATCTTCCTTTTCCTGAAGATAAAGTTTTCTTTATCTGAACTTCTACGTTATATATGCTTTGTTCTTTAACCTTAAAAAGGTGAACACAATATATACCTAGCTTGCAGACAATTTCCATTAGCTCACCTAGCCACTTTTGTTTGTTCTAATTAACAGAATCTCTCCACAAGCACATACATAAAGGATAATGTGGTCATTTCCGTGCTTAGCCTTTTTGTTTTTCTTTTTTCATTATTTTATTGGTAGGGAGTGATTAGAATTTTTTTATCACTTCATATATTTTTAATCAAATAAATAACTATATCTCCAGAAAGTTTTGAATGTTGACTCGGGGTATGGTCAAAATGGATTTAATTTGCAATAACAATTGAAAATTTAGGGATCTGTTATGGTCCCGGAAGTCAAAAGAATGACTCAACAAATTCTACCCCGATCGAAAAGAAAAAAATTATTAACTCCCTCTCCATAAGACCACAGAGAAAACTTTCTCTAGGAAGGATTAGTTTAAAATTTTCGCTAAGCAGTTCGCCCCTCTAATTTTTGAAACAATTTCCCTTTCAAACTTCTTAAGCTTGCCCCAAAATACTCCCTAGTTTTACCATTTAATAGTTAGCTAAGCTAAATAAGCTAAATAATTAAAGAAAATGCGACAAAAGGAAAGCAAAAAAAAAAAAAAAAAGAGGAAACAAGGATTGCTCTTCCTCTCTTTGTCGTCTCCTGGCTCATTCTTTTTAGATGAAATTTTACTCGCATTTTGACATTTTTGAGTGTTTATGTAGTTAATCTAAATTTAGTACTTAATGTTAAACAATCAAAATGCACCTTTATTGTGGACAACTAGAAATTTTTAAAATTAGTCTTAATGCTTATGGTTTGACATTCATTTTTTGTATATAACTTTTGTTTAATATTCAAATTATTTTTACCGATGTTGTTGCTTGTTTTGGGCTCGATTAGCATTTCCTATTAAAGAACAACTTCATTTTCAAGAACGGGGATGCTTATTTTCACCACAATCTTTAGTGGTATGCGTATGTTATTGGTTGTATTAAAAAAAATAAAATTAGAATATTGCTAACCTACTACATCCAAGTACTAGTAGGTTAGCAAAAAAAGCATTTTAAAGTATTGATAAATGACTTGCTGTTAAAATGAGTAAACAAAATTAAATAATTCTATCCTCTTTACTTACAACAACAACCACAATCCAGTATAATTACAGTAGTGGGGTCTGGGGAGGTAGTTTGTACACAGATCTTACACCTAACCTGGGGCTGTTTCCGATAGATCATCCACTACCTCTCTCCAAGAACTCCCCACCTTGCTCTTGGGGTGACTCGAACTCACAAACTCTTGGTTGGAAGTGAAGGGTGCTCGTCACTAGACCAACACACTCTCGTCAAAACTTGGACTTAATCATAGTTAAATAATATACTATATTTTTACTTTAATTTTTGACCGTTTAAATTAAATTATTTAATTTGAAGTAAACAAAGATCATCATTAACTTCCCCCAAACTCTTTTTGTTTTTCATTCTTCAATGCTGACTCCAGAAACCATACAATTGGTCCCCAATTAAATACTTGTGGACACTTCTAAAACTAGCAACTAATAGTAGTATTAGTGTTTCTTACCAACTACTACAAGCAGATCAGCGAAAGAGTTCTGCAAAGATGGCACTATCCCCCCCAAATCTGTATGCAAAAGGTCATTATTTTTATCATTTCTATTTTATTCTAATGGTACTTTAGATTGTCTCTTTATTTAACTGTTCTTGAATTTCTTTTAGCAACTCTGTTCTTTTTCTACTTCTTCACTTTGTTGGGTGTCTCTTAAATCCTTGTGAGAACTGATTGTTGTTATTGATTTAGCTAACCCTATTATGGATTCAAGTTATATGCACTTTCAGTGTGATGATTTCTTACACCGGCAGGTTATTTATGGGTTATTTGCAATTACCTTTTGCATGACTTGACTGTGTTAATATTTTTTACATCAGTGCATAGGTAGTTTGAGTAGTTATTTTCAAATGGGAAAGAGATTTGAATCATTTTGATTAGTTCCAATGAAGCCAAAGAATTTTGTTCATTGCAAACAGGCCACAAGATTAATGAATCAGCAACTATTTACTTGTGAAAACCCAGTTCTTGACATATGAAGTTGTTCAGTTCTGGGATCTTATTGATGTAAAGTACTGAGTCCGGTCCTAAATATTAGTCGTCCAATGAATTTGTTTCAACCTAATTGCTGTGTTTGAAAACCATGAAGTGTTTAATTGTTTTTTTCCCCAAATCTACACTTACTGTTCCAACTAGTGTAATGTTAATTGAAGTGCTTAATGAGAGATAAAAAGTAGTTGATACAAATACTTTAATGATTAAGATATTAAATGTGTTCTTAAGGGGTGTTCAAAAAACTCTTAAAAGACATAATGTAGTACTATTTAGGTGCTTTTCTTCGGGGGTGGGGTGTGGGGGTGTGGGAGGAGAGGGAGTTGGTCCCTCATGGTAGGTTGGCTCTACAGCTATGTTGCTCACACTTTCCAGAAATGTTGCCGCACTCGTGTCGGATCCATAAAAAATGCGCTAGTTTTGGAGGATCCGACACTCACCCAACGGCATTTTTGAAGAGTCTGAGCAACATAGCTCTGCATTGTGGACAAAATGAATTTGATAGAGAGGCATGTTGGATCAAAAAGTTTTATTAAATAATGTTACCTCACCCCTGAAATGGCCTGAATACAAACATAGGAAATTGTTAAGAAGTAATTGTGAAAATCTTTCTCTCTCCAGTTTTAGTGTACTTCAGATGGTCTTTATCTAAAAATTTTCTTGCTTTGCCAGGTGATGCTTATGGGATTAAGTATTTTGAGATTAAGACAAAGCCAAGTCAATTAAAGCTTTGCTTCAGCTGTAGAGCAAGGGCAAAGGCAGCTCTTAGTACTCGTTCGAGCTCCATTGAAGTTCCTCGTCAGTGGTACAATCTAGTTGCGGACCTTCCAATCAAACCTCCACCACCTTTGCATCCCAAGACTTTTCAACCTATCAAGCCTGAGGATTTGTCTCCTCTTTTCTGCGATGAGTTGATTAAGCAGGAGGCAAGCATCGACCAGTTTATTGATATACCGGAAGAAGTTTTAGATGTCTACAGCCTTTGGCGCCCGACCCCTCTGATTAGGTTTGTTTCGTGTTACTTAAAAGTGGTCTTAATCTCAACTTCACTTGCATCTTCAGTCAAAATATGTTAACTTATGGTAACTTTTAGAGCTAAGAGGTTGGAGAAATTGCTTGATACACCTGCGCGAATATATTACAAGTATGAAGGCGGTAGCCCAGCAGGTTCGCACAAGCCCAACACTGCTGTTCCTCAGGCCTGGTACAATAAAATGGGAAGTGTCAAAAATGTAGTAACGGAGACTGGGGCAGGACAATGGGGGAGCGCACTATCATTTGCTTGCAGCTTATTTGGTCTCAACTGTGAGGTAAGATGTACCTAAAATTTGTATCCTAAGTATTATTTTGGAGCACCTATATGTTTGAGAAATCCTCAACCAGATTCTATTTGGATGACATAGAATAGCAGGAAAAGGTATAAAATCTAAAATGATCTCCTTGACAATTTCATGTATGATAGAATTGATGTTTCTGGACAACTGTCACATCTTAATTTGTGGAATTTTAATGCAGGTATGGCAAGTTAGAGCGTCTTTTGATCAGAAACCCTATCGTAAAATGATGATGCAAACTTGGGGTGCCAAGGTGCACCCTTCTCCTTCTGACCTTACAGAGGCTGGTCGGACTATTCTACGAATGGATCCTTCAAGTCCAGGAAGTTTAGGTATAGCTATTTCAGAGGCTGTGGAGATTGCAGCTACAAATGCTGACACTAAGTATTGCTTAGGAAGTGTTCTTAATCATGTTTTGTTACATCAGACTGTTATCGGTGAGGAGTGTATAAAACAGATGGAGGATTTTGGAGAGACTCCAGATGTGATCATTGGTTGCACTGGGGGTGGATCCAATTTTGCTGGACTTGCTTTCCCATTTATCCGCGAGAAGCTTAAGGGAAAAATTAATCCTCTTATTAGAGCGGTTGAACCTGCAGCTTGCCCCTCCTTGACGAAAGGCGTATATGCTTATGACTATGGAGACACAGCAGGCATGACTCCGTTAATGAAAATGCATACACTTGGTCATGACTTCATACCGGACCCCATTCACGCCGGTAAGCCTCTGTCTCTTTAGGAGGATAGTTAAATTTTCTGCCCTTTGCTTTCTTTTTAAAATATTAGAAACTTTGTTTCCAGGGGGGCTTCGTTACCATGGCATGGCGCCATTGATATCACACGTCTATGAATTGGGTTTTATGGAAGCAATATCAATTCCCCAGACTGAATGTTTTAAAGGTATCCTTAATTCCATATTTTCGCACTTATCTGTTTGGAGTATGAGTAATGTGATTGTAAATGCACTGATTTTGCAGAGTCCGTCATTCTAATATATTGTACAATTACTGTTTCAGGCGCGATACAGTTTGCTAGGTCCGAGGGATTGATACCTGCACCAGAACCAACTCATGCAATAGCTGCCACAATCAGGGAAGCTCTACGATGTAAAGAGAGAGGAGAATCGAAAGTTATACTCATGGCAATGTGTGGACATGGCCATTTTGATTTGTCATCTTATGATAAGTATTTGCAGGGTAGCTTGGTTGATTTGTCATTTTCAGAAGAGAAAATAAAAGCCTCACTGGCCAAAATACCCCAACCAATGTCCTAATCTGGTCCAAATCAAGGAGCCAATGAGAGTAAGAGGTATGTAGAGAGAAGCTTACAGAGGTCTGTCTCATTTTCCTTTTATCTGTGAACCGTCATGCTTCCTGTTTGGAAGGGCAATTATTTTCATTTTTGCATTTGCTGTTGAATGTTGTGGGTGATTTTTCTATTATGACAAGACTAGTCGTCATTTCGCGTGGTTATGTATCTACATTGTAATAAATTGTGAAATAACAAAGCTGCTATTCCCGGAGTAGCTATTCCAAGAATAAGATCAGATCTTGGTTATGATTTCATTCCACAAAAATGTTTTCCCAGTTCTACCAAGTCCATTCATGAAAAATACCCCCCTCCCCCTCCCCCTCTTGTTGCTCGAATATTCAATAGGATAGTATTAGCTTTGTGAGCTGTTGTCTGACCTT